TGTGTGTGTGTGTAGTAATATATATATATATATATATATATATGTGTGTGTGTGTGTGTGTGTGTGTGTGTGTGTGTGTATATATGTATATATATATATGTATTGGTATACGTATATGTATAGTCTGGCGCAGGCGCAAACACGCTATACTCAAAATGCAACCACATGCACATTGTCCCAGATATGTTAATTCACTGTATTAAGCAGCACGCCATCGCCCGAAAACGCTCCCAAAACGACTACACATTCCTCACTCGGACGCCACACCCACATGTCCTAAACTTCAAACACCGGTCCCTTTTACTTTTGCCCAGGTGTACACGCCATACCACATGCACCGGCCAAGGAACCCTCGCCTCCCATCGGCACCACACAGTCGAGTACCAGCGAGAAGGAGATCCTGTACTTCAAGGACACACACAAACACCCGCAGCTGCCGTATGTGGAGGACTATGTGGCCACCACCTCACTGCCCGAGGCCAACGAACTGGTCAGGGCGGCGGTGGAGCGGGAGAGGAAGGTGCACGCACGGTTTGATGTAAGTGTGCTCGTAGGTAGGGTGTGGGTGTGGGTGTGGTTTGATGTAAGTGTGCTCGTAGATAGGGTGTGGGTGTGGTTTGATGTAAGTGTGCTCGTAGGTAGGGTGTGGGTGTGGTTTGATGTAAGTGTGCTCGTAGGTAGGGTGTGGGTGGGTAGGGGGTGTGGTAGAGGGTGTTGTGACGGTAGATTTCACCATATCACAGACACACAGTGGTATATAAGCATGTATGTGGTGTGCAGTGAGCTATGTGGCCAGCCCTAAACTGCAACAAACTGGTTAAGGCTGTGGTGGACTGGATGAGGTTTGTTGTATGTGTGTTGCTTGTGTGAGTGATCAAACGGTGTGCGTGGGTTGTGTGGTGGACTGGATGAGGTTTGTTGTATGTGTGTTGCTTGTGTGAGTGATCATACGGTGTGCGTGGGTTGTGTGGTGGGCTGGATGAGGTTTGTTGTATGTGTGTTTCTTGTGTGAGTGATCATACGGTGTGCGTAGGTTGTGTGGTGGGCTGGATGAGGTTTGTTGTATGTGTGTTGCTTGTGTAAGTGATCATACGGTGTGCGTGTTGTTCTCATTTGTCGTAGTGTATTGATAGTGTTCACCATATCAGAGCCATCCATGCATCGCTGTATCTGTCCTATGCCGAGGGCTATGCGACCGTTCAAGCATTTTCCGAAGTCAAAGTACGGGTTAGGGCGGCTGTCACAGTGGGGATTGATCGACTACACGCGCTTCCGTGCAAGCATATGTTGGTTGTATGTGATGAGTAAAGAGTATCAAACTTAGCTGTTCTCGTTTGTACTGTGCGACGGTTATACGTATGTGGGGCTGGATGTATGGCCATGGGAGTATGCGAACGGATGTACAAGAGGTGTTCTATTGGATCCGCTGTATTAGTCTATTTGTTAATAGTCTACTTATTATATGTATTGTGTGGTGTCTTTAATAGTCTATTTTATATATATATATTGTGTGGTGTCTTTGTTGTATTAGTCTATTTGTGAAAAGTCTATTTTTTTACATATTGTGTGGTGTCTTTGTATAAAGCGATACGGGCTTATACAGCACCACCGAATTCCGAGTGTGTGTGTGTGTGTGTTTGTGTGTGTGTGTGTTTGTGTGTGCGTGTGTCTGTGTTTGCGTGTATCTGTGTCTGTGTCTGTGTATGTGTGCGTGCGCGTGTGTCTGTGTCTGTTTCTGTGTCTGTGTCTGTGTGCGTGCGCGTGTGTCTGTGTCTGTGTCTGTGTCTGTGTGTCCGTGTGTGATCCATAGGCCTGTGAAGGTATGGAGTCGTGCACCCCATATACCTGCGCATAAAAGCTTGACGTGCGTGCATGTGGCAGACAGATTAATGTGACCTGGACGGGAGGGCACTCTCAGTGGGAGTGTGTGTGGAGTGTTTGTTGGGTTCTGGGAATGTGTGTGGCGTGTTTGTTGGGTTCTGGAAATGTGGGTGGCGTGTTTGTTGGGAACCCAAGTGCACCTGAATCAATTATAACCCAAGTGCACCACTATCTCCCCCGCAGGAGGCCATGCAGAGCGAAAGCATACGCACACCCTTCTCACTGCACGACCACACGGCGGCAATCATCCGCACGGTACCCGCACTCGAGCCTCCCCCAACGGACAAATATCGAGGAGGAAGTAAGTTCCAGATGGGCCGTCTGTTTGCGTCACATGCGGGACTGTTTGGTCTGCCCAATGTGCGGCGGTTGAAGTCGAAGAAAGGCGGTAGGCGTATCATTCCCCTGGCAGTGAGCAGGCAGCTGTTGACAGGTGTGTTGATCACAGTTATATGTGAGTATTGGATTCGGCTGTACACAAACACAAAGAGACTAATATATATATATATATATGTGTGTGTGTGTGTGTGTGTGTGTGTGTGTGTGTGTGTGTGTGTGTGTGTGTGNGTGTGTGTGT